CGTGATCATGCACCAAAGAAAAGCACGGATCCACGATGAGCACGAAAAGCACGGATCGATGATGAGCACGTGATCACGCACCAAAGAAAAGCACGGATCCACGATGAGCACGAAAAGCACGTATCCACGATGAGCAGCCAGCACCAAACGCTGCGCCCCGAATAGCGATTTCTATAAGTGTAGGGACAAGATAGCCTTCCGCTCAGTGAAGGCAATAATCGTAATGCCTCACATAGCATAACAGTCTCGCACCATTCGCCATGTGTGAAACGTTTTATACTCTGTTTGCCTCTGAGGAAATGGAAGATACTGCTGCCACTCGTCGGAGCCATGACCGCATTCAATGACGTAACGCATGCCCCGCGATGATGCGTAACCCACCAAAGGATGGACTTGAAAGGCCTTCCACTATTCAGACCCCGCCCAAATTCGAGGTTCAGGGTCAAGGTCTTAGGCCAAGACGGTCAGTTTCAGAGAAGTCACAGTCGGGTACCTTAGGAGTCAAGTCCAACAGGCACCAGGTGAACAGTCACGTCCCAGGGGCAAAGGTTGCATTCTATAAGCAAAACTCATGTCTCATATTGACGAGTCATATTGAAAAGTCACATCCTACGGGCAAAGGACACTTCCCCAAGCAAAAGTCGTGTCCCAGAGGCAGGAGTCACAATCCACAGTCAACAGTCATGTTCCACAAGTGAAAAGTCGTGACTCACAGGCCCAAGCAGCAGCACACCAATGGAAATTCAGGAAAAGTACCAGGCCCTGACATTCTGAAGCAAACAGGCCGTGGGGATGTGGTACCAGAACCAAGTCAAGCCCAAGAAGCAGAGGCTGGGACGAGTTCAAGTTCAGTCCAAGACAATATAAGGACTGCGCAGCCTCCTCATTGGGGCAGATTGCTCATTCGCACGAGGTGTGGAAGTGCTGGTGCACTTGTGCGCTATTGTGAGGAGCTGAGCGCTGAGCCAGGGAGCTGCGCTGGTAGAGGGAGAGAGAGGGAGCAGCCATAGCTGCCCCGCAGCTGGCAGAGGGAAGGCAGCCATAGCCGCGCCAGTGCTAGTAGTTAGTAGTAGACCTCAGAGGGGTTAGTGGAGTTAGCAGTGGATGTATTCAGAGTGGTAGGGAGCGAAGACACAGGGAGGTACCATACAGAGAGAAGACTGAGAGAGAAGAGAGAAGAGCAGTGAGAGAGGTACCTACCTGAATGAGGATACTGGTTACTTGGATCTGCGCTGTTGAGCACTTGTGACTGGAACTCTTAATTGCTCATACGATAATTTGTTGGAATTATAAAGCTGCACTTACCTGGTCTTCGTCTCTCTAGCCTCCAGTGTGAACTTCGTGTGAGCTCATTTGTGCATGGTGTGTGATTGTGTGCGCTCATTGGTGGAGAACTGGGAGGTTCATTGCAAACTGGTATCGGAGCAAATGCTCACTGCATCCACTGGATATCGCTGGCAATGATTAAGGCCGGCGAGAGAGAGAAGTGAGTGGGGAGAAGTCTGACGAAGGGGGGGAAGGTGGGCTGAAGAAGAAGTGGCTAGTTGGGCTGGTGATTACGTACCTGCTGCGCTGGAGCATTGGAGCGATCGTGGAGCTTCATCAACGTAACGTTCACTGAAGCGCAGTGCATTCCCCCCCCTAAGCCCTGTATTGCTTGCTGAATTGTCTTGGTGATTGGTACCTTCCACATCCTGGTGTCGCTGCTGCTGGGCTGGTGCAAGTCTTGTGACATATTTGATTTGCTTTGAGTCTAGCAACCAGTCAGCTTTGTAAAAAAAAAAGAAAGTATATATATATCGTTTTGGGAAGAAGAAGGCAGTGCACATTGTGGGAAGGGTATTCGGCAACCAGTGAAAGTCAGACCCACTCAAGAGTTAGTAATTAGTGGTAGGAGGTAGGTCGACGTGGTGAGGAGGTGGAGGCCACGTACCTGTGCCTGACTACCCCATGTTTTCACTTCTGGCCCTGCCCGTACTCTGGGCCCCCCTCCTTCGTTTTATCTTTCCTCTTGGTTTCCAACGGACGTTCTTTTCACATGCGATCTTGAAATCTGGGAAGTCAACACAGGTTTATACAGCCGAAGAGCAGGCAGAGATAGATCGCCGCCTGGCTGAGAAAAGAAAAAAAAAAGAGGAGGAAAAGAAAAGAAAGATGGAGGAAGAAGAAGAAGAAGAGGAAGAAAGGCTGGAAAGAAGAAGGACCCAGCCACAGGAGGAAAGGGCTGAGAGCAGCCAAGCAGGGTCTATTCGTATGCAATAATTGGAGGCGATGGACTGGATGGGTCAGTTTGGTTACCGGACGGAGTTCCCAGAAGAAACGGAGGAGGAGAAAAATGCCTTTGTCATAAAGATGGCCTCAGCAGCGGAAGAGGCAGAAAAAAACATACTGCTGGAAGAGAAGAAAGTGGAATTGAATAATAAGATGGCGACGGCAAAAAGGCAGGAATATAATGAAAACTAAAGGATGAAAGAGGAGGGGGAGAGGTTGCAGAAGATGCTGCAGGAACAGAAAGGGAATCATGCTGCCACAGATGAAACACTCTCCCTCCTAACAGACTCCTCCATACTAACGACGAACTTGCTGCACTCCATTGGACTGTTAATAGAATAGAATTGCACCAAGGGGAGTTCGAAGGCGTCTGGAATAACTTCCTGCATAGTGCCTCGGAGCAAATTGACTACCGTATATTAGAGTATATGGAACAATTAGATAAAGCCCTCTGCCAAAGGTTATCCGACTCTGTCGCAGTAAGGAAATTAAAGATTGGTGGTGGGGGAGGAGATGGAGGCGATGATGGTGACGATGGGGACAGAAAAGGAAAGGGTCCCAAAAGATGAAGGTGAAGATACCCTGGACACATACAGGGAAGAAGGAAGAAAGTATCTTCCACTGGGAAGCAGCAATGGACACCTACCTGTACGCGCAGAAAATACCATATTGGGACCGTGTGCTAATGGCGAGTTCGTGTCTGTCAGGTGATGCAATTAGTTTCCCCATCTCTCTAATGAAAGAGGCCGGCTGTACGTCCATGGTTCAGTATTCGCAGAAGTTAAGCATAGAAGACTTCTTCAAGGCCCTGAGAGAAAGGTTCAAGGACAAGAACCTGGCCCGTAGGACAGAGTCCCTGATCCTCAACATTACCGACCGCAAGTGGAAGAGTGCGTCAGCACTCAAGGCTACCATGGACGAGTTACTGCAATGTCCAGATCACAGACTGACACCTGCACAGATCCTGAACACCTTTGTTAGGGCGCTCCCAGATACCCTAAGAACTCAGTTATATCCCCGCACCAAGGAAGACGGGATAACCTACGAGAAGTTCAGCAAGATCGCAGTGGATCATGCTGGCTTCCTGCAGGAGGCACAATATTGCCATTATTGGAAGGACCTGCAGGCGGGTAAAAAGTGGAGAGATCGAACGATCTTCGGTAATATAGCAGGGAAAGATAATTTACTCGTCACTTTTGAGGAAGGAGGTGTCAAGTCACCAACCTACGACCAAATAGACTATGGACTAGATGAAGATAGCAGTCACTTAGCTGAGGGAGGGGACTATGCGGCTGTTGCCGCCCCCGGGGGAGGGCGACAGGGAGGACGAGGCCGTGGTAGAGGTAGAGGAGGTCGCGGCCGAGGTGGAGGAAGGGGACCCGCTGGCCAGAGGGGTAGTGGCGAAGGTAGCTACTATGCGGGAGGTAGGGGTAATGGTCCCTTGCAAGGTGGAAGAGGTTCCTACTCCACAGGGGGTAGAGGTAGAGGAAACAACAACTTGCGGCCATATCCACCCCATCCCGGGATCGCTATAGGCAAACCTTGGGGACAAATGGGGATTGATGAGAAGATGTGAGATGAGCGTAAGGCAGCCGGCCAGTGTTTTGAATGTAGTGACCCCGACCACCTTGTTCCCTTCTGTCCCGAGTATCGGCACCCAAAAGGGAACAGCCAGTAGAGGTAGCAGTTGCCTCTACAGGAACTCTGGATGCAAGCAGATTGTCATCCTCCCATCCAGAGGTCACAATGGCAGAGACTGAGACGGTAGTTGGCCCCCACCTAGTGAGCTGCCCGGAGGTTGTTTGTGTTAGAACCTCTCTATGTGGTTCCCTCGCAAGCATAGGTGATGAACTGATCACTCGTCGCCACGCTTGGGCCGAGATGAAGAAAAAGAAAGGGCAGTTGCTAATTGTAGACATAGAGGTCAGTAGAGCAAGAGTGGGTGCGTTAATAGATAGTGGGTCAACACACAACTATATTAGCAAGAAAGGGCTGCAGAAGATGCGCCTAGGGCTGAAGGTCCAGAAGTTAAACCAGCCCGTCGTGAGCAAGTTAGTGGATAATAGGGAAATGGTAGTAGATAGTTATGTTGAAGGAGTTAGGGCATACTTCCGGTTGGAGGCAGGGGGTAAGGTAGAACGTGTTCTGCACTCCCTGGCACTCTTAGTGGAGGACAGCCTCCCTTTTGACATGATCTTAGGAACTGATTGGGGCAAGGCCGCGGATGCAGACATAAAACTGGGTGAGCACGAGTGTTGTTTGCCTAGCGCCCTAGGTGGGAAGAAGAAAGTGTGTTTGTTCGATGCATTCGGCGTAGAAGGTAGCTTGTCCCTTTGCTGCGCGAGTGACCCCGCGTTCGCCCGGCATATGGTCAAGAATCACCTCGCCGACCAAGTGTTTGTTGCATATGTGGCCCCGATGAGTGCAGAAAAGAAAGAAGAAGAGCCAATGCCCCCCAATGTGCAGAAATATTCTTGCTGAGTTCTCAGATGTGGGAGAGGCCCCAAGCGGGGTGGTTGAGAGAGAAACTAAGCACCGGATAGAGTTGGAACCCGGAAGCCGGATCCCCAAGGGCCCCATCTATAGGATGTCTCCAAAAGAGCTCGACAACGTGCGGAAGCAACTGGATGAGTTGATTGAGAAGGGGTGGATTAGACCAAGCTCCTCGTTGTTCGGTGCATCGGTTTTGTTTGTGTCAAAGAAGGGCGGCAAACTGCATTTGTACATAGACTATAGGGGACTCGACACAATAACAGTCAAGAATGCTGAGGCATTGACAAGGATAAATTCTCTCTAAGACCAAGTGCAAGGTTGCAGATATTTTTTGAAAATAGATTTGAAGTCAAGCTACCATCGGATCGAGGTATTGCTTGAGGATCAGCACAAAACGGTTTTTCGGACCCGGTACGACCGCTGTGAGTTTGTGGTAATGCCGTTTGGACTGACGAATGCTCCTGCAACTTTCCAGAGATGTATGAATGAGCTTTTTCGTGAGTGGCTTCGAAAGTTTGTTGTCGTTTATTTAGATGATATATCGATCTTTGGTAAGAGTTAGAGTGAGCATGAGGAGCACCTTCGAGTTGTGCTAAATAGTTACGTGAGGCGAAGTTTAAGATTAACCTGAAGAAGTGTGAGAGGGCAAAGCGTCAGGTTTTGTACTTGGGACATATGGTAAACCGTAAATGGTGATGGGATCAAGCCGGAAAACGCCAAGATTGCAAGGCCTAACCCGCACACGCTGACTGAACTGCGTTCGTTCCTTGGTCTGGCCAACTATTACTGCAAGCTTGTTCCAAACTTTATGGTAATCGCTGCCCAATTGCGCAGATTGTTGAAGAAAGAAACTGTCTGGAAATGGGATCAGGATTGCACTATGTCCTTCAAGCGTCTGAAGAAATGTTTGATTAACTACCCGGTGTTGAAAGTCGCGGACTGGCCTAACCCGCGCACGCTGACGGAACTGCTTCGTTCCTTGGTCTGGTCAACTATTACCGCGGGCTTGTTCGGAACTTTACGGTAATTGCTGCCCCATTGCGCAGATTGTTGAAGAAATAAATTGTCTAGAAATGGGATCAGGATTGCACTGAGTCCTTTAAGCGTATGAAGAAATGTCTAATTAAGTACACGGTGTGGAAAGTCGCAGACTCATCTCTGCCTTTTATCGTAACCACTGATGCCAGTCAATACCGGATCGGTGTTGTACTCCAGCAAGACGATGCGAATGGGTACAGACCTGTGGAATTTATGTCCTGTAGACTGCCTAGCAAAAAGGTCGCCGCTTCCACTAATGAAAGAGAGTTGTTTGCTCTACGGAAAGCTTTGAGCGATTGGCGACACTACGTGCTAGGACACTACTTCAAAGTCTATTCCAAACATGAAACGTTCGCTGGCAAAAGACCCACGCCCGGATGACGCCCAAGCTGACTAGGTGGGCCAGGGAAATTGATCAATTTGACTTTGAGTTGAAGCCAGTACAATGTCGTCGCCGATGCGTTGAGTAGAAGAGCTGACTTTTTCGGTGCTATTGTCACATATCTATAACATACGTCCATTATCGACTACGCATCCCGAACAACGAAGAAATTCGCAGCATCATACTTGGGGAAAACCACGACACCAAGGGGCACTTCGGATGGAGGAAGACTTATGCTAACCTCCTGCGCTCCTACACGTGGCCGCGAATGACGCATGAGTGCATTTCCTATGTGCAAGGTTGTCAGGTATGTCAGAGGAACAAGAGTACCACGGCCTCCCCTTGGATTACTCAAACCACTTCCTATTCCATCGGGACCCGGGGACTCCGTGTCCACACTAAAGTGAAAAACAGGAATGGCAAAAGTCAAGTTATGGTTGTGGTAGACCGATTTAGTAAGTTTGCTGTGTTCATTCCACTCCCTGCAGAAGCAAGAACCGATTTAGTGATTAGGGATTTCTTTAATCATTGGGTGAAGGGTTTTGGGCATCCCTTGACTATTGTAAGTGACAAGGATTTGCGGTTCACAGGTGAACAATGGCAGCAACTGATGAAGGTATACGGGTCCAAACTGACTATGTCTTCAGGTAGACACCCTGAGACGAATGGACAGACTGAGCAGATGAACAAACTGCTGCAGCAGGTGCTGCGCATGTACATCCGGCCGGATAAGATTGACTGGGATGAACATCTGCCGAAGGTTGCAAGTGCCTATAATGACTCTGTGCATCTAGCCACGTATAGAACACCTACTGAACTGCATCTCGGATGGCGCCCTCGTAGACCCATTGACTCTCTGAACCCTGATCAAGTGCAAAGACTGCCGCCAGTGACTAGGGAATTTTATATTCAGTATCAAAAAGACCTAGAAAAGGTTAAAGAGAACATTAGTAAGGCACATCATCAGATGGTAGAACAGGCTAATAAGCACCACAGGCCTTCACAATTTGCTGTAGGAGGCATGGTCTGGGTGAAGTCAAAAAGAATTTCTCCCTGAAGAGAACATTTCCCAGAAATTGTTGCCTGCTTATAGAGGACCGTGGCAGATTCTCGATGTGATTGGTGATGTGGATGGTCCTTCTTATGTTGTTGAGAATCTTGAGATTCCGCCACATTTGCACACTTATCCGGTGTTTCATGCACCGAAGTTACTTCCTTGCGTTAGTAATGAACTGTTTCCAACTTGAGGATGTATGATTCACCCGGATATGGATGGAAAGTATGATGTAGATCGGATTGTTGAGAAAGATATTTACAGATCTGGGCGCAGGGGTAGACCGCAGCGACAGTATAAGGTTAGACTTGCATATCAGGAACCTTCAGAAGATCGGTGGTTCACAAGAGACGAACTAATTGAAACGGCACTGCATATTGTGTCTTATTTTGAGCGAGCTAAAAGAGAAATTAACATAATTGATAGATAAAGTTGATAACTTTCTCAGAGGACCTCGACATTAGGACGGCAAGAGTGAAAGGCCTTCCACGATTCAGACCCCAAATTCGAGTTTCAGGGTCAAGGTCTTAGGCCAAGACGGTCAGTTTCAGAGAAGTCACAGTCCGGTACCTTAGGAGTCAAGTCCAACAGGCACCCGTTGAACAGTCACATCCCAGGGGCAAAGGTTGCATTCTATAAGCAAAACTCATGTCTCATATTGAATTGAAAAGTCACATCCCACGGGCAAACGACAATTCCCCAGGCAAAAGTCATGTCCCAGAGGCAGGAGTCACAATCCAAAGTCAACAGTCCTGTCCCACAAGTGAAAAGTCGTGACTCACAGGCCCAAGCAGCAGCACACCAATGGAAATTCGGGAAAAATACCAGGCCCTGACATTCTGAAGTAAACAGGCTGTGTGGATGTGGAACCCGAACCAAGTCAAGCCCAAGAAGCAGAGGCTGGGACGAGTTCAAGCTCAGTCCAAGACAATATAAGGACTGGCCAGCCTCCTCATTGGGACAGATTGCTCATTCGCATGAGGTGTGGAAGCGCTGGTGCACTTGTGCGCTATTGTGAGGAGCTGAGCGCTGAGCCAGGGAGCTGCGCTGGTAGAGGGAGAGAGAGGGAGCAGCCATAGCTGCCCCGGCGCTGGCAGAGGGAAGGCAGCCATAGCCACACCAGTGCTAGTAGTTAGTAGTAGACCTCAGAGGGGTTAGTGGAGTAAGCAGTGGATGTATTCAGAGTTGGTCCTCAGAGGGGTTAGTGGAGTTAGCAGTGGATTTATTCAAAGTTGGTCCTTGAGTGGTAGAGACACTTGAGTGCATGCAAGTAGGGAGAGAAGACACAGGGAGGTAATAGAAGGAGAGAAGACTAAGAGAGAAGAGAGGAGAACTGAGAGAGGTACTTACCTGAATGAGGATACTGGTTACTTGGATCTGCACGGTTGAGCGCTTGTGACTGGAACTCTTAATTGCTCATATGATAATTTGTTGGAATTATAAAGCTGCGCTTACCTGGTCTTCGTCTCTCTAGCCTTCAGTGTGAACTTTGTGTGATCTCATTGGCGCATGGTGTGTGATTGTCTGTGCTCATTGGTGGTGAACTGGGAGGTTCATTGCAGATTTCACCGGTCTAGCACAAAGGAAGGAAGCTGGGAAGACATATAAGCATGCATTTGCCTGCCTTTAAAGTTTTAAGTTTAAACTTTTGTGTGTAAATATGTCCTGGGAGAGCACGACAACTAATTGCTCACCTTTTCTTGCACGTTCGAGCTTCTTCCATTCATCTTGATGAGATTCTGTCTGTGCCTGCAAAAGAAAACCAAAAACCAAAACAAGAGCATGTGTGTTCAACCCATCCCATCCATTCATCCCCGCATGCACGCTATATACGTCAGAAAAGGAGAACAAGAAATCAAAAGGAAGAGGTCGATGCAAGGAATATGAGCGCGAGCGATATACAGAAAACCAAATTGCAAAATCACGCAGATGTCCAGATAGTCATGTACAAGCAAAGAGCTCAAATGCGCCAAGATTCCATCCAAATAAGAGCAATACAATGAACTCGTGAGCCAATGTTCAAACCCTCAGGCCACACCAACGCAGTATTCAATGTCGCTCCTCTCTGTCTGGCGCCCAGCGCCCAGCCTACTCTACTTGCCTATCTATCCTATCTACGTTCTCGCAACAGGCTCACTTCGACTCTGAAGACCAATGTACATGCCGTCAACACCAATGCCGACCTCTCACATACGCCAGGTATGTATCCTCGTCTCGCCTCTCTCGAAGACCCTTCTGTTGCCCTTCACCTGCCTCATGCCCTGCAGCCCGGCTATAGTCGCAATCGCCCCGCTGCCCTGCAGCACCCTCACCTCGCAACGCCCAAGCACACCCCAGGCAGCAGCTGCGCAATGCAGACACTTGCATGCTGGCGCAGCAGCGTGTCCGCAATGCCAGCATTGGCCAGAATACTTTCCCCTAGCTTCCCTGCTTCCTATATGGAAGTGGCAGCCGCTGCTGGACTGTGTGGGCCTGGCCGTGGAGGTTTCCAGTAGCTTCCGGTTGGGCCCCAGTACCTGTGCCCAGGCCCTGCTTTGGCAGTTGAGGGTCTGGGCCCCTTTGCAGTTGGGCAGACCCAGTATTTTCCAGGCTCCGACTGTTTGCTGCATTTGCACTAGTCCAGGGGCAGATACAACGACAATGCTGCTTTCGTGTTGGCCCGCGACCGCTTCATTATGTGTCGGCCTCAACATGTGTGTGCCCAGGGCACAACCACCCGGGCCCTGGGCTCAAGTGCCTGGCGCAGTTGCTTCCTCTCGAAGAGCCGAGGGTAAGGCTCAGGCTGTACTTCAGCCAACTGTCGTACAGCAACTAGCTGAGACCCGTATTGGAAAATGCCTAGATAGAGGCTTCTTGTGAATAATCAGGCCTGCCTTCCATTAGGGTGGGCATGAGGCTTGCTGGGGCCCCACAGGCAGAACATATGCATGTTGTCTAAGGGCCCCTGAGGACGCATTCCTCACATTCCATCCCCCTTAGCTTGGAGAGTCCGCTGAGATGCTTCTATGCAGGTGCCTTCCACCTTCTTTCATAATCTGCCACAATCTGAGGTGCTGTTTCAATTAGTTCCTCTCTCGTGAACCATCGGTCTTCTTTTGGATCCATGTGATGCCTGAATCTGAACCTGTATTCCCTCTTAGGTTTCGACAGTCTTCCTCTGCTGACAGGCTTGGGAACAGGCATGTCTCTATGCTCCAAAATGTCGTCGACGTCCGCGTGGCCGTCCATGGTTGGGGGCAGCATAGATGTTGCATGCTGCACCTGCACACGGGCCCCATTTAAGGGGCCCGACGGTTGCTGAGGGGCCCCCAGGCTGCATACCATACAGCACGCGCACTGGAGGCCCACGTCGGCCCTTCAGGCCCTAGGTAGCACACTAGTTAGATAGGTTTAGTTTTACTTACATTTTTGTGTGTGTGTGCTGTCTTGCTTTGTCTTTCAGGCGCCATTTCGGACTTGCAGCCCCAAGGCCAGACCTTGGGACTGGGTACACTGGAGGCAGGCCCGAAACGAGGCCAGGCGCATTTTGGCACCAGACCGGTAGGTGCAGGCGTCGTTTCAGTCCTGCACGTCCCAAGGCGACACCTTGGGGTAGGTGCACAGTTACCGGGCCATTTTTAGGCCAGGCGCATTTCTGCGCCTTGCTGCATCAGCAGCATGGTCTGGACGTTCGGTAGGGATCCAGACCAGCTGGGCCATTTTTCTGAGGCCAGCATCAGGTAGGCCCAGCCCTCCCAGCGCTACAAATAGCTGGGCAGCCGCTGGGCAAGCACAGTTCAAGTAGCTCACTTCTGGAGCGACACGCTGCTGGTTGGAGGCAGCGATATTCTGCGCTAAGCTATGGAGTAGGGAGTAGCAGCATAGGTAGTAGAGAGAGGCGGAGGCCTTACCTGCAAAACGGCGAGCTTACCTGGCGCCATAGCCGGAATCCACGCGGTACCTGCACACAACAACGACCACAGTCAGTACGGTGACAGCTACCTGCAGGTGAGATAGCAAGGAGGACGTCGTCTTCTTCTTCCTCCTCCTCCATCTCTCTCTCTCCCTTCTTCCTCCTTCCTCCTCTTTCTTATCTTCTGCTTCATCGACGGGAGTGAGAGAGGTTATCAGTAGGGAATACAGGCAGAGGTTATGCTGGGCACATCGCCCAGGATCTGATTCGACATTTATGGGACAGACATTGATTGGACACTTGGCAAGGGACTATTTTTGGGACTTCGCTATCGCGGTCTTGGTCTACTCCCTCGCCTCCTCCTTCATCTCTTCCCTTCCCCTCATCTCTCATCCCTGGTATCTCCCCATGTATGTGTGCGAAGGTGGGACCTTTCTTCTGTGATTGCGGTCAACTTCTCCCCTCTCACTTGTGAGATGTATGATGGATGATGGGTCAGTCTAGATCAGATCAGATGTTCTCTTTTAAGTCTTCCACTGCGCCACTTGTGCCATCTTGTATGTATCGGAATGTACATTGCTTGTTGATGCTACGCTGACCTTGCATTGTCCATTTCAGTTCTTTTCATCACATTGTGGATCCTTGGCTCCCTACGCATTGTCCCACTGGGCATGCATCAGTTTGGTATCGGAGCCCCGCTTGTGAATCAGGACAACCTGATCTGACACAATCGCAGGGGCAATCAAGGATTGATTCGATTTGATTGATTGATTGATTAATTAGATTACACTAATTAGTCCTCAAAATCGGTGATTTCGACCTAACTGCTGAAATCGATTTTTTTTTTCTTTTTTCTTGGATTTCATTTTCCCGCTATTCTCATTCGTGGAAAATCGCAATAGCGTAGCATCTGAAATTTTCATTTTTCCTTTTCGATGAAATTCCAAATTCCGGTGCTGGAGGTCCGGATATATTACGGATTTTTTTTCGATTCATCTTTTCCTTCGCAATTCCCGGTTAATTCGAAATTCCGAATTTTTTTTTCTGAAATTCATTATTCGAACTTATTTCCGAAAACTTTCGCATTTTTTTATTATTTTTCGCACATTCCAGGTGTAACGGAAATTTCAAAATTTTCACCGTTATTCACAGATTTGGAAACTGCTTTTTACGGGAAATTCCTCTAGCAGTCATTTGTTTTCAAACTGCGCACACTCTTACCCGAGAAATTCCGGATTTTTTTATGTTTCGGAATTTTCCAAACTTGCGGAATTTTTTTATTTTTCGCAGTTCAGTTACTTTGATTATCTCCATTCGTTATTATTTTTCTTTTCCATTAGCAGTCTGAAATCCGAAGAGGTAGAAGAACTCTCTCTCTCTCTCTCTCTCTCTCTCTCTCTCTCTCTCTCTCTCTCTCTCTCTCTCTCTCTCTCTCTCTCTCTCTCTC